ACAGATTAGAACGCATAACAAAATAGCGCATTTTTATGAAAATATGTTCCTATTTTTATGTACATAGAAATATAAATTATGTTAAAATTAATTCTATAATCTTATACATATATTAATTTACGTAACTTTATTTATCACTGACAGATTTTTAGCTAACATGAAATGGGTTAAAACATCTCTATAATTAAATTTCAATTCCTATTTATTTTGTCCTATTTATTTTATTCCTATTATCATTTTCTTACAAAATAGCTTTAAATTAGCTTACATTAAATATTAAATAGCTTAAATTAAATATTACTAAAAATAAATTTTTAGATTTGATTTGTAATGTTTCTTATGTTTGATTCGTTTCTTATTTTTAGTGTTAAAGATAAAAATATTATTTAATTAAAATATAACTAATATAAAATCTAATTAGAAACAGAATATTTAGAAAATTTTTTAAATTTTAATACGTTTAACGTTTCTCTTTCATTAAAATAAGATCAGGGTATTATTTGAAATGAATTTTGATAGGAATTATTCAATTATTCCCTAGACATCTATTTTTTAGGAACAACAGAATGTAATTCTGATCGGATTTCATTCCGACTTATTCCATAATAGATGCCCTATAGGATATATATACTGTTTCGGCGCTAAGACAAGCGCAACGACAACATAGTGCGAGACCGATCGCCATTTTACGCGAGTCGGCGAGTTGCGGGAAATTTAGATTATATTGAATCTTAATAATGGCTGAACCAATTAAGTTCTATGTACGTTTACTTGATATCTTTCACTCGGATTGTGTAATAAAAGTATCTTCTCTTGTTTCTTCTTTATGTGGCCCACAAGCGGAGATATTGCGACGCAAAGTTCGGATTTAAAACTTTTTTATAATAAGATACGTCGTCATTATTATTGTCAATTCTAAAAATGTACTGTTGCAGCTTCTAGCACAAGAACGCGGTGTATTGTTTTTGGCATAAGAGGCTGATTAGCGGATGCTGCGGTAAGTTTATTTACGTCGCATATGCTCCAATATGCTTCAATATATTGCTACTATAGCTCCTACTAGAACATTGGAGTGAGTAGGAGCTATGGTAAAAACATATTGAAGCATGTTTTGGAGCAAGTGAGGTTATATGATCTTGAGTTCACGTATTGTGCAAATTACGCAGCTTCAAGAAAGGGAGCGAGTATTGTGAGTAATGAATTTCTGAGTAATGAGTTTATATGTAATCCGTATTAACCCACTAAACACATGGTATATTAAACGTAAAGTAGTATAAAAATGATAAAAGAATGAAAGTGGTATAGGAGATAACGTTCTAATTTTTACTATATTTACGCAATCGTATAACATATAATAATGATATCCGTTTTTATTATGTTATTGTATTTGCATAATACAAAACAGATTTCATATTGGTTAAAAACATTATAAGAAAGGAATGATTTAATTTTTAAGAGTATCTAGTATATTCGGTGAATACACCTAATATTTGAATAAATGAATAAAATGTGAAATTCGAATAAATGAATAAAATGTGAAATGAATGAAATGTGAAAAAACTCATTCGAATACATTTCTTTTTTATTCGTCAAGAAACGAATAAATACTTGTTCATTCCATTTGAATATTTTTTTAATTACGAATATTTCCGTTTTGTTTCCGTTTAAGTATACAACTTTGCTTCCGCCGTTTTCCTATAGGCGGCTGGCTTTAGAGGTAAGTGGTGGTCGAAATAAATAGATCATAGACGTCAATAAATTTGGGCATCTGTCAACATACCCCCATAGAAACATTAGTCGATTTGTGTCTGCATCATAAAGTTATTCTCGATTGAAAATGTCAGTTTACGAGCCAAATTCTCGTCATTTGTAGGAGGTTTTAATTTTTTGCTTCAATATGAAGAAATCTGTGGCTGAGGCTCATCGAATGCTCTCAAATACTTATGATGAGGCCGCTATTAGTGAAAGAACGTGTCGTGAGTGGCTTCAAGAACGGTGATTTTGACGTCGAAGACGGCACAGCGATGGAAGAAGGTTTTCGAAGATGCAAAATTGGAGGTATTACTCGTGTCAAAATCAAGAAGAATTGGCACGATCATTGGGAGTGACTCAACAAGCCATTCCAAAACGCCTCAAAGCCATGGGAATGATTCAGAAGCAAAGAAATTGGGTGCCGAACGAATTGAAGCCGAGAGATGAACGGCGTTTGTTTGCTTGTGAACAGCTGCTTGAAAGGCAAAGACGGAAGGGATTTCTGCATCGCATTGTGACTGGGGACGAAAAATGGGTTCATTATATATTCCCAAGCGCAGAAAATCATGAGGAGTTCCCGGCCATGCTTCCATCGTCGACGACCAACCCAAATATTCACGGCTCCAAGGTCATGCTCTGTATTTGGTGGGACGAGCTCGGCGTAGTGTATTATGAACTATTAAAACCGACTGAAACAATCACAGGCGATCGGTATCGAAATTGATGCGTTTAAGCCGAGCATTGAAAGACAAACGGCCGCAATACAACGAGAGACACGATAAAGTGATTTTGCAGCATGACAATGCTCGACTCCATGTTGCGAAAGTAGTCAAGACATACTTGGAAACGTTGAAATGGGAAGTCCTACCCCCACCCGCCGTATTCTCCAGACATTGCTCCCTCTGACTATCACTTGTTTCGATTGACTTGGCACACGGCCTGGCTGACTAGCACTTCCGATCTTATGAAGAAGTAAAAAATTGGATCGATTCGTGGATAACCTCAAAAGATGACCAGTTTTTTCGATTCGCGGGATTCGTACGCTACCCGAAAGATGGGAGAAAGTAGTGGCCAGCGATGGATAACATTTTGAATCATAAATGTATAACCAGTTTTTTACAATAAAGCTTCGAATTTCGGAAAAAAACGGCGGAAGCAAAGTTGTACACCTAATATTATCTGTACATTGCTTGCAAGCCTATAAGAGAAAACAAAAATCTATAAAACCAACGATTTGGTTTATAGCTAGCTACATCGTTAATTCACAATCTATATGATTACACCGTTAGTCCACAATCTATACGATAAGCATCCTTGTTTAATCTTTAGGTTAAATAAAGATATTTTTGATGGAAATAATACATTTCGGAATTTAATGTCAGATAATAATGTCACATAATAAACGATGCGCCTAAGATATCTTATAAAATGTTTATAAGATTACTGTGATGTAATCGGAATATGTATGACGGTCTATCGGATATTTATAAATAAAAAATGTATTGCTTTCTAAAATATTTTTCAAAATTTTTAAGTTCCCTTCAAATTGGAATATTACAATGAAATAAATAAAAAAATAAATAAAATTCTATTTTTTTTACTATTTTATTTTTTAAATCATCAAAATGCCGATTATAGGTTAAAGGATAATAATTGCTTATTGGAGCTTTCTTTTTCAATTTATATTTTGTTTGGATGAATATGAATACTTGTTAAATATTCATAGTTTCTTGTGAATAAATATTTTTGAAAACCAAAAATTTTAAATGAATATATGATTACATCTTTTTATGAGAAAATTTTGAACAAATACAATTTGGAGCTTAATTACAAATTTTTGTATTCATCGACCACACTAAGTATATCTACGTTCATATATATACACACACACACACACACACACACATATATATA